GTAGATAGAGTCGTCCCCCTCGGGCGGGGCTTAAGAAGCATTTTTTGTGTTGCGAATGATAAAAAGGATGAATTTTGGATGTGAATCTAAATGCATATACATATAGAGGTGCTAGACATGTTTTGCAGTGTATAATCTGTGGAAGGAATTTATAGGTTTTTTGACTGCACTGTCTTCTATGAATAACTAACGGAAAACAGATTATGCCTTATTTCTGATATGTGTTACCGCAAACAACAGTGGTGACATCTGATGAAAAATGAACGCAGAAGCTTGTCTAAATGATTAATTGCCCCTAACGAGACCCTTGCGGAATCTGTTTTGGCATCCTGAGCAAAGTAGAATAACAACCCGATATCATCTAGATAACAAGTCTTGTTATCCCAGATATCATTTTGTTTTCAGTTGTTATCGCATAACTTATTTAGTTATCAGCCTTGATCAATTTTGGCCTTGTTGTCCTCTGCTGTCCGAAGAAGTCGTCTCCACTCTAATCGATCCATGGCCACAGTTCGCCAGCCTCGTAGTCTGCGAAGGGTCCGCAGGTCACCTTCTACTTGGTCGATCCACCTTGCCCGCTGCGCGCCTCTTCTTCTTGTTCCTGTTGGGTCACGGAGTCCAAAGTAGGCACGATTTCCTGCCATAATGCGTCTTTGAATTTCTCTGCTGGTATCATTTTGGGCGGTCACCAGTGAGCCCAAATACACGAACTCATCGACCACCTCGATTTCGTCACCGTCAATCTGAACTCGGGGTGGGAGGCTAACATTGTCTTCCCTAGAACCTCTTGCTTTCATGTATTTTGTTTTTGATGCGTTGATGGCAAGTCCAATCCGTCTAGCTTCAGCCTTCAGTCTGATGTACGTTTCCGCCATCATCTCAAAGTTCCGTGCCATAATGTCAATGTCATCGGCGAAGCCAAGGAGCTGGATGGACTTTCTGAATATCGTGCCACTCGTGTCTATCCCAGCTCTTCTGATCACATCTTCTAACGCGATGTTGAACAGCAGACACGAAAGTCCATCACCTTGCCGTAACCCCCTTCGAGATTCAAAGGGACTTGAGAGTGTCCCCGATACACGGACGACGCACATCACTCGATCCATCGTCGACTTGACCAATCGCGTCAGTTTATCCGGAAATCCGTACTCGTGCATAATCTGCCATAGCTGATCTCGATCGATTGTGTCGTATGCGGATTTGAAATCGATGAACAAATGATGTGTGGGCACGTTGTATTCGCGGCATTTCTGCAGAACCTGCCGAATCGCGAAAATTTGGTCCGTGGTAGCGCGGGCACCCATGAATCCCGCCTGGTATTGCCCCACGAACTCTCTTGCATATGGTGACAGACGGCGGCATAGAATTTGGGAGAGTACCTTGTAGGCGGCGCTCAGCAGTGTGATCGCGCGGTAGTTGCAGCAATCCAACTTGTCGCCCTTTTTGTAGATTGGGCATACGACACCTTCCATCCACTCCTCCGGTAATATCTCCTCCTCCCAAATCTGGGCAATTACCCAGTGCAGCGCTCTTGCCAGTGCTTCACCACCGTATTTCAATAGCTCACTTGGTAGTTGATCTACACCAGTTGCTTTGTTGTTCTTCAGCCGACCGATCTCCTCCTCAACTTCTTGAAGATCAGGGGCCGGTAGCCTGTCGTCTTCTGCGCGTGCTCCAAGGTCTGTTGCCGTGCCACCTTCGTTTTCTGCTGCTTCACCGTTGATGTGCTCGTCATAGTACTGCTTCCACCTCTCAATCACCTCACACTCGTTCGTGAGAAGGTTACCGTCCAAGTCCTTGCACACATCGGCTTGCGGCACGTAGCCTTTGCGCGAACTATTTAGTTTCTCGTAGAACTTCCGTGTGTCGTTTACGCGGTACAGATTTTCCATCGCCTCGCGATCTCGGTCTTCCTGCTGACGCTTCTTCCTTCGGAAAACCGAGTTTTGTCTGTTCCGCGCTTGTCTGTATTCACATTCAATCTCGTGCGGTGTTGAAGCATTCTCGCCCGTGCTGCATTCTTCTCCTCTACTAACAGTTTGCATTCGCCGTCAAACCAGTCATTTCTTCGGTCCGGGATTGCAGTACCTAGTGCCGCTGCAGCAGTACTATCTATGGCTGAACGGATGTCCCTCCAGCCATCTTCAAGAGAAGCTGCGCCAAGCTGCTCTTCCGTGGGTAGTGCAACTTCCAGCTGCTGCGCGTAGTCCTGGGCAACTCCGGTGTCCCGTAGTTGCTCAATGTTGGGTCGTGGCGTTCGACTACGACGTGTGTTATGCACCGTCGAGAGTTTTGAGCGCATGCATACTGCAACTAGGTAGTGGTCCGAATCTATGTTCGCACTGCGGTACGTGCGGACGTTGATAATGTCGGAGAAGAATTTCCCGTCGATTAGAATGTGGTTGCCTCTCACCCCAAAAGGCCTGGGTCCAATCCCAGTCGGCGCCGCCGATATTTTCTGAGGCATAAAATTGATCACGCCTTTCTTCGCAAGGGAAGTAAAGCCGTTGGTCCCGGTTCATGAGTTGATCGGTCGATAGGTAGGGTCCAGGTGTGGGAGTTGCCAAAATGGCGTCGGACATTGATTTCTGCTCTCGAGACATCACCCCGATTCCAGAAATACCCATATCTAAGGGTATTTGAGATTATTTCCCAGTTTATCTGCAACCGGAAGCCGCTATATTGGGTTTCAAGATGGCGTTTGACATTGATTTCTGGTCTATAGACGTTATCCCGTTTCCGGAAATACCCATATTGAAGGGAATTTGACAGTATTTCCCAGTTTTTTTCTTTAACAGCAAGCCGCCATCTTGGATTTCAAAATGTTTCATACATTGATTTCCGGTATATATACGTCATCCTGATTCCAAAAATACCCATATTGAAGGATATTTAACATTATTTACCAGTTTTTCTATAACCGGAAACCGCCATCTTGGGTTTCAAAATGGCGTTAGACATTGATTTTCGGTATATATACGTCATCCTGATTCTAAACATACCCATATTGAAGGATATTTGCTAGTATTTCTCAGTTTTCCTACAACCGGAAACCGCCATCTTGGGTTTCAAGATGGCATCAGACATTGATTTCCGTACTCAAGACATCACTCTGATTCCGGAAATACCCATATCGAAAGATATTTGTCATTGTTTCATTTTTTTCTATAACCGGAAGCCGCCATCTTGGATTTCAAGATGTCGTTGGTCAACGATTTCCGGTCTCCACGTCACCCCGATTCTGGAAATACCCACATTACGTAATACATCATTTGAATTCACAGTTTTTCTAGGGTCAAATTGCGAATCTCGACTATTTGTACGAACGCTTGTATGAAAAAGTTTTTCGTTTCGAGATGCGCAATGTGGCCACCGTATTCGAAAACCCCTTTTTCGACTTGACACTGCATAATTTTATTCATCAAATACAAATTCTGTTCAGTTATCTGCCATCACTGCACAGTGGTCCAGAATGCAGATTTAGGTGGAATGATATGTTTTGAGCATGAAATTGAAACTTTAGGCTAAAAGTCTCTTCTACAAAGTTGTTCCTTATAGTTATGCCCTCATTTTTATGACAATGAATTCTAGGTTGGTTCCTATTATCATTAAAATCAGAAATCTAACTTATTTGTTTGAATAAATTAAGGTATACATTCTTCGACAAATTTATAGCTGAGCTAATTTCGAGCAACTTTGTAGAAAACAACTTTTTTGTTCAAAGTGTTTTTTTTATGTTACTTCATACGCGAAGTTAACGATTTTCAGAGTTGGTTGGAAATGCTAACATGAAGCTTTAGTGTGATGATTTATTAGCTAGAGAATGATCTTTAGAAGAGGGTAGGTGGATAGTTCCGTTAGAGTACGGCAGTATGAAAATTGAATAGAAGTTGCTAGGGCAAAAATTTGCACCTTCTTAAGATCTAAAAGTTATTTGAAGACACCTTTGCTGAGAAATTCGAAATAAGAAAACTAGATCAAAACAACTGTGTTTTTTAGAGCCACCCTAACTCAATTCAAGAAAATAGCTCTAAATCGGCCAATTTAAGAGATACAAAAAAGTTGTTTTCTACAAAGTTGCTTGAAATTAGCTCAGCTATAAATTTGTCGAAGAATGTATACCTTAATTTATTCAAACAAATAAGTTAGATTTTTGATTTTAATGATAATAGGAACCAACCTAGAATTCATTGTCATAAAAATGAGGGCATAACTATAAGGAACAACTTTGTACAAGAGACTTTTAGCCTAAACTTTCAATTTCAGGCTCAAAACATATCATTCCACCTAAATCTGCATTCTGGACCACTGTGCACTGGCAGTTCTAAATAACACGCATCATGCACATAAACATAAAACAGTACCGGATCGGTTCATGAATTCAAAACATCATCCTTGTGAGCACGAACACCGGTACTGGAAAATCAGAACCGCACCGTGTGCAGCGAACTGGTGAACACGGTGCGGTGTTGCTTGCAACTATCAAACCGAACCGACAGCAGCACCAAACACTCGGTACAACAGATCAGCACATTGGTTATGATTTAGAAATCCGTACCGGTGTTTTGCCCATCACTGCCTTGATACCGTCTAGATTACTTAGGTACTTAAATGCAAAAGAAGCCATTCGCTTCCCTTGCTAACCGCAATGGACCTGGAAAATACCCGCTATCCCAACTGCAGAGGCTTCTCCGAATGAACCAGTTTTGCCTCCACAGTTCATCGAAAAGCAAGCTTAAGTAGGTGGTACATAAGAAATATTGCTGTCCAAGCAATAATTTTCGAAGAAATGGTAAATACAGTCAACTCTCCATATCTTGATATTGATGGTCCCTTCCGAGATATGAAGAGATCGAGTTATAGAACAACATTGACCAACTAGGGACCGAGATAACCATCGACATATAGAAAAACGTGGAGAGTTGACTGTATCAAGATTTTGCGGGGAAAAGTCGGAAAATCACTAGTCATTGGTCATAGAACATATTGCAATCCATTACCTTGTACGGCGTTGGATTCAGCGTACGCTTGTGATCCTGCCGGAGCGTCTTGAGCGAGTTCTGCACACGGTCGCGCACCTCATCCAGCGAGGGCATCGCCTGCGTCACTCGCCCGTCGGCCCAGTACACGTCGTACAGGGCCTCGACGTGCGTGGGAATGACGTAGGCTCGCTTCGATTCTTGGAATGGATGGCGGCAGAGCACCTTCTGGCCAACTTCCGGAGGGCTTTCGTCTACCCGCTGAAGCAAATCGATCAGAGCGTGCCCATCGGCACCGTACAGGCGGAAAACGTTCTTGTTGCCCGGCATCGTCACCTTGCCGACGTCCTGGCTCAACTTGATCCGCGGCTGAGTATTGATTTCCACCATCTTGTAGACGCATCCGAGGGCCGGCTGTCGCTGACAGGTCACTGAAAAACAAACAAACAAACAAACCGTTCAAAATTTTATCAACCGACTCAAAACCCAAAGAACCAACTCACCCAAATGGGTTCCAATTCCGAAGCAATCGATCTTGTGGCCCTGCTCGTTCAAGCTCAGAATCGTCTCCTCATTGATGTCGTTCGACGCCACGATGGTCAGTTTGCTGAACCACGGCAGCTTGAAGCGCTCGCTGATCCGCTCGAAGGTTTCCCGTGACAGGCAGCTCAGGTAGGCCAAGTCGCCGGAATCGATGCGGATTCCCACCGCCCGGTAGCCCTGGTCGTTGAGGGCCAATGCCACGGCGCAAAAGTTCAACAAGCCGCTCCTGAGGGGGAAATTCCGGGCCAAAAACGACAGCAGAAAAGTTTCGGATTAGATCAGATCAGTTTTGCAAACGATCTCGCACAACAGTCCAGAGGGCAAACATCGAAGGAATTTGAAATATTTAGCGGAAAAAAGTAGTTGGTTAGTTGAATGGTTATTGAACGAAACAAGAAGGGAAACATGTGAACGGCCAGCAATGTGGTGGTGAAATGTGTGTTTTCTTATACCATGAATTAAGGCTAGGTAGTAATAAAAACAAAATAGTGAACTAGTAACGAGGAAACTTTTGTAAAGTGACTTGCTAACCTCTGCAAAATGGTAACCGAATCGGGATAGTAATTTTCAAATGGATGCCAATTTGAGCTACCGTTACTGGTTTTATGCTTGCAGTCGATTTTCTTACTACGCAGATGATTGTACTGATACAGTGGATAGATATTGACTGCCGATTGGTGCGGAAGCCAACTATAAGAAGTTTGTTAAAGAAGAACAGAAAGAAAAGAAACAGTGCATCGGAATGTTGGCTTAGTAGATTACTATAAGTATTTCGAATCGAAGTGCTTGCGGCGGAGGTGAATTTGTTTTTAATTTGCTATGAACATTGAACCTTCAAGGATACAGATAACTTAACCACTTATGAGAATTTACAAACTATATTTAATGCGTGGCTTTATTTGTGTATTCGAGATCTTGCTCGTTTCCCAAATGAATAAAACCACTGGATTACATGTATTCATATCAATAATGTGTCACTTGGGGACGACGCCGGCGTAGTGGTTCGAATCTATGCCTTTCACGCTAATGGGCACGAGTGCAAATCTCATCTCCTTACAAAGTCTTGAATAACCTAAAATGTGTTAAAATGCCTAAAGTAACCAAATGCCACTTGTTAAGTTTTTTGAGATTATGGGAAAAAAAGTAGTCGAGTTTTTATACTTTGGGGTTTTGGGTTTCCCATTTTGGAACTTAAAAAACTAGGACATGCACATTTTCATGGGCTTTATTTGAGATTCAGAGGCCACATTTCGCAACTCGAAACGAAAAACTTTATCATACAAGCGTTCGCACAAAAAAATGTTTCATTTCGAGCTGCATAATGTTGCCTTAGGCTTCAGATTTGGTGAGATCGAACACTTCTTACAAATATATTATTCAATAAATTGCATCATGAGACTTGACTAAAGTTTAATTCTGGCCACTTCCTCGGGGGCACCCGGAAAATGCCAGAGCAGGCTTGTTATTTCCTTACACATTGAGCGCAACGAGCACACTTACAGCTTATCACACTGAGGAGAACGATTGCACTGCTTTATGAAAACACATTCACATTGAGGCAAACACAAAACGAAACGGCAATACTAAAATTACGGAAATAGTGACCAAATAGCGACTTTTAAATAATAAATAAGTAACCAACAGCGACATTTGATTTGATATTGAAATTAATTCAAGGAATCTCCTATAAACAGCATTGGAAGTGATTTGAATAACTCCTATAAACAGCATTGTAAGTGATTTGAATAATTTTGATTACGTTACACATGATGACTAACAAAAAGCAATTTCCGGATCTTCTCGGATTTTTTTTTAAATTTTACTGGTTGTTTGATATAGGTACGTTTGCATTAATGTATAAACCAATGAAACCGATAGCTTAAATAGGGTTCAATAAATCAGTACAACGACAGTTACGTTGAAAATATTTAAAATTAGAGGTAGATAATTTTGATATTTCGCTAAGTTTTTTCACAAAATTTCTTCGGAAAATCTCAAGAACTTTTATAGAATCATTCCCCTTCTCTTGAACTTGCCTCTAAAATAAGCTTAATAAAAAAATAATATTGCACTCTTGAAATCCTTTGCAGAACAATTAACAATATTCTTGTAAATAGATTATGTTCGTAGTTGGAGATGATTAACGTCAAAAATCAGACTTAAAGTGGACATTTTATACGATAGTTGAGGAGATGAAAGTATAGAGTTGATAGTTCAGTTAGAGTACGGCAATGTGAAAATTGTATAAAGAAAGTAAAATTCGAGCAAAAATCAATTTTGATGAAGGCACGAATCGGATCGAGCATTCCTTTTACCAAACTCCCCCGTTGATGGATGGTGAGGGGTATTTCTTCCCGCCACCACTGGCAAAAGGGAGATTGTTTCACACTCAAGTCGCCATCTGACATGCATCTACCCGATCTCCTCAATCGGGGGATCTCGTTTCCTACTTTCTATATACAATTTTCACACAGCCGTTATAGAACTATGAACTCTATACTTTCATCTCCTCAGCCATCGTAAAAAATGTTCCTTTTAAGTCTGATATCGATAACTTCACTCATGAAGTAATGAAACATGATTAGTTAAAGTAGAGTACTTTTGATTTTGTAATGGCTCTCCCAAGAATTCCTTGAAGGTTCCTTCCATTAATCCATTTTAAATTTAGTTGAAATCTCCTTAGAATGCCCATGCAATTAACCACAGAAATTGTAACGCTGTGCGGTTTTCTTTTTTTTCTCTAAATATTTTATCGAACTAAATCTATATATATAAAAATGAATTTCTGTCTGTCTGTCTGTCTGTCTGTCTGTCTGTCTGTCTGTCTGTCTGTCTGTCTGTCTGTCTGTCTGTCTGTCTGTCTGTCTGTCTGTCTGACCCTTATAGACTCGGAAGCTACTGAACAGATCGGCGTGAAAATTTGTATGCAGGGGTTTTTGGAGCAAGGAAAGGTTCTTATGATGGTTCGAGACCCCTCCCTCCTCTGTAAAGAGGGGCTCCCATACAAATGAAACAGAAATTTCTGCATAACTCGAGAACTAATCAAGCAAATGGAACCAAATCTGGCATGTGGAGGTCATAGGGGGTAGCCCGTTAGATAAAGGGGAGGGGGCTACGTACAATATAGCATGCTTTTTTTAATTGGCGCATGAACCCAAGCTAATATTGAATCCCGAGCAAGGCCGGGCACTCTCAGCTAGTTTAAAATAAAATTCATTGCATTATTTAAATTTTCATTTAGATTTCATTCAGTAGTGAAATATTTCGTGCGTTTCATATCGAAGTTACGCGTTGTTTATGGTTAGGTGTCCTGGATAAACATTTTGCTATAAAAAGCTCATCTTTATAGATAGTAGCTTTTATTGCACATGCTTTCGGAAGGCGCCATGAAATACTTCGCCATTCGATTAGTTTGGCGCAATTTTTGAATAAAAGAATCGTTTTTTAAAAGACAACCTTAATTTCTAAAGAAGAATGTCGTTAGGAACTTTCTTCCCCGCGAAAGGTACTCTGACTAGTCCATTTCGCTTTCGAATCGGCTGGTGAACAGAAGTGCACGAATAAGATTCTCGTTAAAAGTCGTTTGTGCATTTGAATTGCCTTAACAGGTAGTTAAACTTTAGTGAGTGAGTTTTATTTTCAGAAGTTTTACTAAGACGTTTCCTTTCTTTGTACAGTGTAGCTAAGGTAGTTTTAAATTCCGCGTAGTCTGTTCGTTTTGTTTCAGTGAATTTTGTACAAAAAAGGTAATAATTGATTTTAGTTTATATTGTAATTATTTAATTAATGCGAGTTCGCGTTGGATTTCCAGCGCTTTGTGCTTTTTTTGTACGGGTTGGATTTTTATCTTTGGTTCGGCTATCGCAAGGTCGGACAAGGGGTTCTGTTAAGTGGCATCTATTCCGTCGTCCGTATGAAACGGATCATCAGACTCGTGCGCCAAGCGAAGGCCCGCCTGTTCAAAGGTAGCTAAACGGAGAAGAGTGAAGTTCGCTATTCGTCGGAGCGAAAGTTTTCCGACGGTCGCCAATCAACCGTCGACGAGGTCCTTTTTCCGCTGCAACCTCTTGTGGACCATTCTTTCCGAGAGCGCGGACCGTTTGAGTGCGTAGCCAAGAGCGTACCACGGTCCGGATTCAATCCAAGGAGAAGGGTGGGTTTCATTCCATCCCGGGCGGTCATAGCGGAAGATTAGTACGCGAAGCCGTGCGGCGGTAAGTTGGCCCGCTTTTCTCTGAGGGGCGAATCTCCCGGGAAAGCACGACTACGGTCGAGGCTCAGCTCTCGACGTATTAAATCGGAAGCCTTCCGTCCAGCCGCCACTCTCTCCGCAACTCTAGTTCGGCCATACTGCGCACGGGTCACCTTCATCGCTGCTCGCCATACAGCAGCTCATGTGCGGCGCCATAACGCCTCGCCGCCATCGCCACGCTAGCTGGAAGGTCGCCTTCCGTCGGCATCATCGAGTCGTCGAGTCCCCACCGTCAGCCATCATCGAGCCGTCGTTCTTCGCTTCGAAAAACCTGCGCAGGTTTGTTAGAGCATGTTTTTAATCATGGCCATGATTTGCTCTTTTTCCGTACACTCATCCAGAAATCCAACCCGAATAAACGAACTCAATAATAGTGTTTAATGAAAATTGAAAATTAGTTTTTTATGCTTTAGAATGTTTTTTCCCTGGAATAAAAGGCACTCGCTATCTTACGTTCAGTTTTTCCTTCGATTACCGCTCAGTTGAGTAATAATTCCTTCTTTCTCTTTCCGTTTCGTTCATGTTCTGGGTAAGTCAGAGTAATTCTTTCGTTCCGATAATATCTGCGGTTCTACGGGACTTGGCGTTTTACTTTTGATATTAAAGCTAGTTGTGCCATTAGTAATCGGAAACCGTTCAAGAGGTTCTCTGAGATAAGGTCTCATAAATCGGGCAAAATTCGAACATGACCAGTGGTCTCTCCTAATCGAGAGTGGCGCTTAAGCCACTGAGTTCTACGAAAACCTCAACGAAAATTCGTGAACGGTTACAAATTTAATAATTTTTTGTCTAGAATAATCAATTCGTATTTCCCTCAGAATTCCCATGGTATTTTCTGAGAATTCTCAAAACCAACATTCATCTCAGAATACTCTTGAAACTCTGCTTAGAGTTCCTTTGAGATTGAACCCTCCACATTGGATTCCATTGGAATTCTTCTCGTAATTTATTTCGAACTCTTTAGAGTTCTCTTG